CTTGATTCCTCCCATCCTTAAGACTGTAAAGACAGCCATAATCAATAAATTATAGTACATTGGTTATTGAAAAAGTTCACCACCACATTGTTAATATATTGTTGTTTTACTTTGTGTTTTAAATGGACGTTCAATCCTTTTTAATAAGCTTACATGGTAGAAATACCAAAATAATAAAAATTTATATGTGTTCTTCCCTTAAGCATGTGTGTGTTTAATCTTACAGGCTGTAGAAAATCTCTGTTCTTACAAGATTTCTGCAAACTTGTACAAACAGCTGAGACAGATTTGTGAAGATCACATCAAAGCACAGATTCATCAGTTCAGAGAATATCCTTTTAAAAACAAAACATCTTGTATTTTTATCATTTATTCTCTTCCTATCCTTCACTATTTAATCCAGCTTGAAATGGAATACAGTCAAACCTCATTTCTCCAATGTCTCCCATCTTGAATAATTCAGTTCTCAACCAAGTTGTTTACAAAAATAATATCTTGGTTGTTGAACCAACTTCCTTGGTTTTTGACCTGACAACCCTTTCATGCTTGTACAAAGGAGAGAATGTTTTTGTTGCTGGTGAAATCCCACAATTAGTACAATTTTAAAACATAAAGAGGCCATCGAGAATGCTAATGTTGCTAAGGGTGTGAAAGAAACAATGATCATGAGCAATTGGAGAGGTAGAAAAACCGTTGTTGATTTGGATAAACGAAAAGCAGTTAGCCAGTGACAGCATTTCAGACAGTGATAATGTGAAAAAGCAAAGATGCTGCATGTTGACCTGAAAGACACCTATAGAACAAGAACTGAAAGTGATTCCTTTAAGGGTAGTAGGGGCTGATTTGATAAATTTAAGAAAAGAAGTGTTGATTTATAGATTAAACAATACATTAGACATGTACTGTATATAAGAAAGGTTAAAAGAGAATCATTTGGGGTCTGGAACGGATTAATTCAATTTACATGATTTCTAATGGAAAAAATGAATCAATTTATGAACAAATTGCTTCTTGAACAGCCTTCTGGAATGAAGTAAGTTTGAGAACTGAGGTTCCACTGTAGCTGTGTTTTGTAGATTTAATTTTGTTTATTTTGCTTCTAGAGAAAGAATTTTTTTAGCTTTAATTAGGATCTAAGTCCTAATATGTGGTATTAATGTAAATAAAATGTTCTTGCATCTTTACCCTTTCCTAGCCCTAACAAATTTCCATTTGAGGAAAGATAATTTAAGGAAATTACAAACTGAAAACACAATGCTCAATTATGTTTAAGATTTGTTTTTTTAAAAATATATTTTAATTAATTTCAGAGAAGAAGGGAGAGGGAGAGAGAAACATCAATAATAGAATCATAGATCGGTTGCCTCCTGCACGCCCCCTACTGGGGGTCAAGTCCACAACCCAGGCATGTGCCCTTGACTGGAATTGAACCCGGGACCCTTCAGTCCATAGGCCGACCTCTATCCACTGTGCCAACCCAGCTAGGACAAGACTTTTTTTTTTTTAGGTATTTTTAGTGAGATACAATATTTTTACAGTTCAAGAAATGGCATTTTGTTCTATAATTAAGTACTATTTCGTTTCATTAGTATGTAAGGTATTCCAAATTTAAGACAAATGTGCTCTTACTTTGCACATGCCACTTGTACTAAGCACTTTAAAATGTCCTTGACGTACATCTCACGGATTCATTGGATAGTGTTCTTTTTCTAAAGAAGATTGATCGATGCTGGCAGAACCACTGTAGACAAATGGTAAGCTGTAAAAAGTATTACATTTCAGCTAAATATTGTAGTTAAAAAATAAATTTCTTTAAATACAGGAATGTTAGTTTTAAAAGCTATGAAGTAGGGGCCTGCCTCAGTATCTGTTCTTCTGAATTGGAAACTAATTTTGGCTTTGTTTTCTGTTTTGAAAATGCAAGTTATAACTAAGCAAGCATTTAATTTTTTTTAATGTTCATTGATTTGAGAGAGAGAGAGACATTGATGTGAGAGAGAAACATTGATTGATTGCCTCCTGTACATGCCTCGACCGGGGATCAAACCCAAAACCTAGGTATGTGCCCTGACCAGGAATTGAACCTGCAACTCTTTGGTGCCCAGGCCAATACTCTAACCATTGAACAACACCGCCCAGGGCTTCATTCCCTGATTTTTATTTTCAGTTCTCTTTTTTAAAATTTATTGATTTTAGAACGATATATATATATACACACACACACACACACACATACATACACACACACATATATATACATACAGTAGGTTCTCGGGTTACATCGGAGATCTGTTCCTACGGCGCAATGTAACCGATTTTCGCCATTAAGTTGGAACCCACCTACATAAGCACCTACGTCACTCACATGGAGCACATACACAGCAGTAATGAAGTGAAACAGTAAAAAAATTTAAAAGAAAGATAAGCCAAAACCGGTTTGGCTCAGTGGATAGAGCGTCGGCCTGCGGACTGAAAGGTCCCAGGTTCGATTCCGGTCAAGGGCATGTACCTGGGTTGCGGGCACATCCCCAGTAGGAGATGTGCAGGAGGCAGCTGATCGATGTTTCTAACTATCTATCTCTCTCCCTTCCTCTCTGTAAAAAATCAATAAAATGTATTTAAAAAAAAATAAATAAAAGAAAGATAACAATTCCTGACCTTTACTTGTGGAAAATAAATAATAAAAAAAACATAAAGCACGTATGTACATATGTTGAAATGACTGAACTTTTTTTTTATAAATAAATGGGAGATGGCGACGTAACCACGAAATGACGTACGTCGAGTCTGACCTAACCTGAGGACTGTCTGTGTGTGTGTGTGTGCATGCATGTGCGCACGTGGACACACACACATAAATACATATATGTGTGTTGTTCTACTTATTTATGCATTCATTGGTTGATTCTTGTATGTGTTCGGGACAGGGATCAAACCTGCAACTTTAGTATATTGGGATGATGCTCTAACCAACTGAGCTACCCCACCAGGACCTCTGTTACTTCTCAAGTTGCAAAGAAGTTACAGGATCATTTTAAGTGCCCCTTTTCTGGAAACTACAGAAGGATTAAGATAATAGAGTAGTTTAATAAAAATGGTATGGGCATATTCTATGGTATATCTGTTCATCTGTATGTTTGATCCTAGTAGTCTAGTATATATTCAAGTGAATCCTGCAATTTTATTCTTATTTTATTGAGTGCAAGTATTTCAGCCTCACAAAATATAAAAATTGCTTGATTTCTTTCTTTTTTTTATTGACAGATCATGATCAGGAGCATTTTTTTGTTTCTGGATAGAACTTATGTTCTTCAGAATTCAATGCTACCCTCCATTTGGTAAGGATGCTAGAAAAAAATTTTGAAAAGATTTGTTACAAATCATTGTCAAATATTAATTACACTAATTGAAGAGACTAAGTGATACTGTGAATATTCTCCTAAAACCTCACATTTGGCTTCTTAAAACATATTTATAGCAGTTTTACCTTCTTATGTTTTATGCTAATATTAGAGATAGCTAACATTCACTGAGCCTATGATAATTTATAAAGTTTTTCTATGGGAATTAAAGTTTATCTTTGAAATATTTGGGCCGATTAAAATTAGTGGGTGTGCATAGTAGAAACTGTTTCTATGCTCCCCTATATATTACCAAAATAAGGAGTTCCTGTAAGCAGCACAGATAATTTCTTTACCTTCCTAATAAAAGCAGAGAAACTTGAAAAAGGCAGCCAGGGAAAGACTTTGGAGATATATATATATATATATATATGAATTAATATGAGTGTGTATTATTTTGTTGCTGATTAAAAAGTTGCTTATTATCCTTTTGTTGTTGTTAATCCTTACCCAAGGATATTTTTCCATTGATTTTTAGAGAAGGTGGAAGGGAGGGGGGGAGACAGAGAGAGAAACATGGATGTGAGAGAGACACATTGATTCGTTGCTTGGGGCCTGCAACTGAATACATGCCCTTGACCAGAATCGAACCCATGACCCTTCAGTCTGAGGGCTGACTTCTCCATCCACTGAGTCAAACCAGCCAGGGATGCTCATTATCTTTTAACAATTTTATGGAAAATTCCAGCTATACAGGAAAATAGAATAGTGTAATGAGCTCTTCCCCCACCATGTGTACCTAGCATCTACCTATAGCAATTATCAGAGTTGCTGATTTTTGAGTACTAAAGCCAGATGACAAATGACCAATTAAGCCTTCATTAACAGTACAGTGAAGACCATTTTATAACTTTGAACTAATTTTATCTCTTAATTTGACCAAGGAAGAAATCCACCAAAGGAGATAATATAACAAAACTTAGTTATGGAGGAAGATAGTTCTCATTAGAGACAAAATGAGTTTCCTGTATACTTTAGTTTAATAATGTTATTTAAAACTAGAGGCCCAGTGCACAAAATTCATGCATGGGTAGGGTCCCTAGCAGCTGCCAGCTGCCAGCTGGGGCCTTCCTTCCCTGGCTGCCAGCTAGAGCCTTCTTTCATTCCACGCCACCCCCTGGTAGTCAGTGCACGTCATAGCGAGCGATCAAACTCCTGGTCGGTTGAACTTCCAATGGGACACTTTGCATATTAGGCTTTTATATATATAGATTCAATGTGTGGATTTTATCCTGTAATTTTACAATGGCTGTTTCAAAGCCTGGAGCCCTAATTAACATGTATGTCTCTCCAGAAGTGGTATTGCTGTCAATTAATTTAGATTATATTTTTATTTTAGGGACATGGGATTGGAGTTATTTAGGGCTCATATTATAAGTGATCAAAAAGTCCAGACTAAGACAATTGATGGCATTCTTCTGTTGATTGAGAGAGAGAGGAATGGTGAAGCAATTGATAGAAGTTTACTCCGAAGCCTTTTAAGCATGCTCTCTGACTTGCAAGTAAGTTAACTACTTCACTTACTACAGAGCTGATGGTTATCCCTAGTTTGATGTGTAAAAACCAAATTAATAGTGTTGTTTACATAAAGAACATTCAATAAGTAGCTAATGAATAAGTAAACTCCATTATTTTGTTTCTCCCTCCCAGATTTATCAGGATTCTTTTGAACAACGATTTTTGGAAGAAACTAACCGGCTTTACGCAGCTGAAGGCCAAAAATTAATGCAGGAAAGAGAGGTATTTAAAAATCATGATTAATAAATCCACTGTATCGCACAATAGACCTTACTTATAGAACATAAGCTGCCCTTTGCATTTATCTTCCCAACATTGTGATGCTTTTCTCTCACTTAGGTGCTCCTTTCTTTTCTCTCTTCTTAAAGGCCAGAATTCTGGATCATAAACTCTACCTATAATTTTACATATGATTCAACCCTGCCACATTTGGCAGGGCTGCTTCCAGGATCTTTTGGACTTGACATTTTCTGAATGATTTATGGGGAGGAAAACAATAATATAAAAAACTATCTTTGTAGGTTCCTGAATATCTTCATCATGTTAACAAACGTCTAGAAGAAGAAGCAGACAGACTTATTACTTACTTAGATCAGACCACCCAGTAAGTATGACAAGCTCTGCCTAATAGCCTTAACCTGTGTTGTCGAATTGCTTAAGGCACTTTAGGCATCCCAACCATGTTAGTAACTATTTTCAGGTGTGAATTGAGATTGCTTAACAATTGTTTTTATAATACAAGCTTCAAGTTGTTATTTGATTAAGGATATGATTATTGGTTGTGTGTATGTGTTTAGGATGTAATTTAAAAATAATGTTAGAAGCTGGTTATCTTTGAAATCTTTGGGCCGATTAAAATTCAGTGGGTGTGCATAGTAGAAACTGTTTCTATGCTCCCCTATATATTACCAAAATAAGGAGTTCCTGTAAGCAGCATAGATAATTTCTTTATCTTCCTAATAAAAGCAGAGAAACTTGAAAAAGGCAGCCACAGCAAGACCTTGGATATATATATGAATTAATATGAGTGTGTATTATTTTGTTGCTGATTAAAAAGTTGCTTATTATCCTTTTGTTGTTGTTAATCCTTACCCAAGGATATTTTTCCATTGATTTTTAGAGAAGGTGGAAGGGAGGGGGGGAGACAGAGAGAGAAACATGGATGTGAGAGAGACACATTGATTCGTTGCTTGGGGCCTGCAACTGAATACATGCCCTTGACCAGAATCGAACCCATGACCCTTCAGTCTGAGGGCTGACTTCTCCATCCACTGAGTCAAACCAGCCAGGGATGCTCATTATCTTTTAACAATTTTATGGAAAATTCCAGCTATACAGGAAAATAGAATAGTGTAATGAGCTCTTCCCCCACCATGTGTACCTAGCATCTACCTATAGCAATTATCAGAGTTGCTGATTTTTGAGTACTAAAGCCAGATGACAAATGACCAATTAAGCCTTCATTAACAGTACAGTGAAGACCATTTTATAACTTTGAACTAATTTTATCTCTTAATTTGACCAAGGAAGAAATCCACCAAAGGAGATAATATAACAAAACTTAGTTATGGAGGAAGATAGTTCTCATTAGAGACAAAATGAGTTTCCTGTATACTTTAGTTTAATAATGTTATTTAAAACTAGAGGCCCAGTGCACAAAATTCATGCATGGGTAGGGTCCCTAGCAGCTGCCAGCTGCCAGCTGGGGCCTTCTTCCCTGGCCTGCCAGCTAGAGCCTTCTTTCATTCCACGCCACCCCCTGGTAGTCAGTGCACGTCATAGCGAGCGATCAAACTCCTGGTCGGTTGAACTTCCAATGGGACACTTTGCATATTAGGCTTTTATATATATAGAT